CAGAACGGAATTTTGGTCGATCCGTCCAAGATTGAGGCCGTGATGCAATAGGAGGTTCTGAAGTCTCCCTCGGAGATCAGGAGTTTCTTGGGAGTAGCAGGGTATTATCGGAGATTTATTTAAGACTTATCCAAGATTGCGGTACCCCTCACTCGTATGACGAGGAAGGACGTGGATTTCCGCTGGGGGCCTGAGCAGCAGGATGCTTTCGAGACTCTGAGACAAAAGTTGTGTGAGGCCCTAGTGTTGACCCTCCCTGAGGGTGTTGAGGATTTTGTTGTGTATTGTGATGTATCCATCACTGGTTTGGGAGCGCTGCTTATGCAGCGTGGGAGAGTTATTGTGTATGCTTCTAGGCTGTTGAAGTCGCATGAGGGTCGATATTTGACTCATGATTTGGAGTTGGGGGCGGTGGTGTTTTCCCTCAAGATTTGGCGACATTATATGTATGGGGTTCGGTGTACCATCTACACTGACCACAAGAATTTGAGGTATCTCATGGATCACCCGAATCTAAATATGAGACAACGTACGTGGCTTGAAGTGGTCAAGGATTATGACTGCGGGATTCTGTATCACCCCGGGAAAGCAAATTTGGTCGCTGATTCCCTGAGCCGCAAGTCGGCTAGTTCTTCTATTGGGGCGTGTGTATGAGGATTTCAATTGATTATTAGCTACTTGATTTAATTAAGGAGGCTCAGGTCGGGGGATTCAGGAAGGAGAATTGGAAACATGAGAGACTCATGGGTGATACTGATATGTTTACTACTGACAGTCATGGATTATTAACCCAGTATGGTCGGGTTTGGGTGCCAGAATTTAGTGGGATCAGACAGATGGTGTTGGAGGAGGCACATAAGTCCATATTTTTTTATACATCCTAGAGCCACCAAGAGGTATCGGGATTTTGAGACTTAGTTATTGGTGGTCGTGCATGAAAAGAGAGATAGCCTGGTATGTTGAGAGGTGCTTGACCTGTTGGATGGTCAAGGCCTAGCACCAGAGACCGCATGGAAAACTGTAGCCATTGGATGTTCCCATGTGAGAATTGGAACATATTACTATGAATTTCATCACCAAGTTACCTCGGACTGCTAAGGGATTCGACGCGATATGGGTTATAGTGGACCATCTGACCAAGAGCGCCTAATTTCTAGCCATTCGAGAGAGCTCTTCGGCCGAGAAATTGGCCGATTTATATGTGCGAGAGATTGTTGCTCGGCATGGTAGTCCACTCTCCATTGTATCGGATCGAGATGTTCGATTCACATCTCGTTTTTTGCAGAAGTTCCACAAGGAACTGGGTATGAGGTTGCATCTTAGCACTGCTTATCATCCTCAGACCGACGGTCAGAGTGAGCGGACCATTTAGACACTTGAGGACATGTTGAGAGCTTGTGTCATAGATTTCGGTGGAATTTGGGACTCCTACCTTCCCCTGGCTGAGTTTTCTTACAACAATAACTATCACTCCAGTATCGGTGCACCGCCTTTCGAGCTTCTCTATGGAATGAAGTGTCGTACCCCAATATGTTGGGGAGAGATTGGTCATAGAGTCATAGGAAGGACTTAGGTAGTCCTTCAGACGATAAAGCTTATTCAGCAGATTAGACAAAGATTGCAGATAGCTTAGAGTCGGCAGAAGAGTTATGCCAACAAGCGTCGATCTGAGTTAGAGTTCCGGGTCGGTGATAGGGTTTTGTTGAATGTATCACCCTGGATGGGTGTAATATGCTTAAGGAAGAGGGGAAAGTTGGGGCCCCGGTATATTGGGCCATTTCGAGTGATTTCCAGGGTTGGAAAGGTAGGTCGAAATTTACGGTAGTGGTGTGTGTTTTTGTGGGGTAGTGGTCAATGGCGAGGCTACATAATGCAAATGTGGATCACTTGTGGTATGTAGAGGTGAGTGGGGTTGGGGTTGGGGTTTGGGTGGTGTAACGTCCCAAAAATAAGACCCAAAAATTTCCATTTTTAAATTACTAAAATAGTAAATCGTATCATTTTCATGAAACCAAGATAGTCAAAGTTTTATCATTACATCATCGTTATCAGAGTAAAACACAAAAGGCGGAACTAGGTGGTGTGTTCCCTGCAATCATCCCGAGCTCTTCCCTTTGGAACTGGAAGTACCTGAAACATAAATTCACATATTGGGCCCCTCCCTCATACCATACATAATAAATTCACATATTGGGCCCCTCCCTCCATCGGGCCCCGCCCGGTATCTAGTCTCACTCGGCTTCGGGTCCCGCTCGATATACAGATCTGTTATTCTTAGGCCCTGCCTGACATCGGGCCCCGCCCACCATGCACATAGACATATATCACATAATCATACGAACACATGCAATGATCAAAAAACAATAGCATACGATACAGTCATCGGGCCTCGCCCGGCATCGAGCCCCACCCGGTATACATAGCAGCACATATTACATGCAAGGGTCATGCAGACTCCTAGCATCCTAACATAAATAACAAGGGTCGGCATTGGTGCCTTAGACCCGTTAAACCCAGTGAGGAAACTCGTATCAATTGCTGAAACACACAACCGAATCGTTGGCTGCTGTCTGACGAGTCCCCGAGCTATCAAAGCCAAATAACATCCAATTAACAACTGGATTCCAATTTATAACCATCAATCCATAAATAGGGTAAAAAGAACTTTTTACCCCTTACCTAGTTTGGTCCAAGACTAAGGCCCAAACTCACAATCTAAAAGGCCCAATAATCAACTCATCATTTACGGCCCAAACATGGCCCAATCGTCCAAATTGGGCCCAAAACCTTACATGAGCCTTACCCTAAGGCCCATCAATTTTTTCCTAGTCCAAACACCTGCATTCAGATGGCCCAACAAAACCCCAAGCATCAAAGCCCAAAAGAATGGCCCAAACTCAAAGCCCAAAATGCAAAACCCAAACAGACTGAGTACGTGGGGCGTACTCAGCTGTACGCTAAGCGTACATGCATTAGGGCTTGTACGATGCGTGCACTGGCTTGTACGCCCAGCGTACTCCTCCTGTCCAATCACCTTTCACATTCAACCCTTAATCCCTTAAGACATTGCTCCAAAACGTAGATCTGACTTCCTTGAGTTGGATTATCACGTAAAGTTGTTAACTTTACGTTCATGCATGGCTAAATGAAGCTCTTAAAGCTCAAGAGGACTTAATAAGTGACTTAATGCATGCATGTAACCAAAAATCCCATAAAGCTTGCACCTTTATGCCATAGGAGTCCATAACAAGCTCAGATCTAAAAAGAGTAAGTCCTTAAAACGATCCAACGTCTCAATCAAACCCAAAAAGGGACCTCGCACTCTCGATCCACCCTTCGCAGTACGCTAAGCGTACACCAATGTACGCCTCGCGTAATGACTTCACACTAGTTATGCCCTGCGTACTAGGGTTTTTCCTTAAACCCTAAATTCATCCAAAGGCTATAACTTCTCCATTATAAACCCGATTTCGACGATCCTTATACATGAAAAGGTAACGAGAAGCTCTACGCTTTAATCAACTCATACCTGCCTTACAATTTCCAGAGCAAAAATCCAATTTCCATAAAAGCCCGAGCTGACACATTACCCAAAATACCATTTGGCTCCAAAACACAAACCGAACACCCGGATCATCTAAATTACATCACCCACCTCCAAATGAGTCCAGATCTCAATTCTTCAAATGTCATAAGTCTGCTAATACCCAATCTTTGATCACTACCCCGAAATAAGAAACGATTCGGAACAGGGCGTTATAGGTGGGGTGGGTGTATGTTTATATTTTTGAAATTTTTTGGAATTAGAAAAATATAGAAAACAATGATTATCGGTTTTCCAAAATTTTCTAAGTTCTTTGTAATTTTGGAAAACGGAAAATGAAAATTTTCTGTGAAAAAATTTAGAAAGATTGTTGACTAAACGCGTTTTCAAAATTCTCATTATTCTTGGAATTTCTTTCGGAAAACAACTTATTTTTCCGTAACTAAACGCACCCTTAAGGTTTTTGAATCCCTGGTTTATGGAAAATGAAAATTTTAAAAACGCTTTTGGTTGATTCAGTTTTCAAAAAATTTCCAAGAAAATGAAATTTTTTTCTATTTTCAAATTGTATGTAAATTAGAAAAATGATTTTTACAGTTTTCTAAATTTTTAAGATTGAAGATGTAAACTCTACCGCCTCAAACCAAACGTGTTTTTTTTAATTTTTATTGAAAACTGAGAATGAAAACTCAACTTTATTTTCTGAAAACATTTTCTTGGAAAATGAAAACAGTTTTTCACAGCCAAACGCACCCTAAGAGTGCGTTTGGTTGCGAAATTTTTTTTAGTTTTCTATTAAAATTTTCAAATGACAATAAAAATTTTAAAAACGTATTTAGTTGATTTAATTTCAAAAAATTTCCAAAAAAATGAAAATTTTCTGTTTTACAAATTGTATGTAAATTAAAATTTTGATTTTTACAGTTTTCAAAAGTTTTCTAAATTTCTAAGATGAAAAATGAAAATTTCACCGTTTCCAACCAAATACATTTTCTAAAATTTTCATTGAAAACTAAAAATAAAACTCAACTCTATTTTCAAAAATCATTTTCTGAAAAAATAAAAACCGTTTCTGATAACCAAACACGCTTAGTTTAATCTATTATCATATTATGTGGTTTGGTTAATTTGAAAGGCCTCTAACTCCTTGGTGTTTAATAAAAATAGATGTTCTCCCTTAAAGACAAGGGATAATATTCAGTTAGTTACTTATAACTGGATTACGCATATATCCAGTTCAAAAAAAAAAAAAAAAATGTTTTCTTAAGACGATTAAAAGATATTATATGGTTGTAATTGGTGGAGAAGAAAAGTCGTTAAAAAATGTCCAATGCCTAACCAGTTGGAAATTAAAAGTGAGAATATATTTCCCACGAGGAAACCAAAAACAGATAATGAAGTGAAAGAAACCAAAGGTTAAAAAGTAATATGATACACATTAAAAATAAAAAATAAAGGAGTACAATCATATTGATGAATTCAAGGAGATATATAGAGGGAGAAAAAAAAAACAAGAAAAGGAAACAAATGGCTGAAAAATAAAAGAAAAATGAAAGCTTTTTTCTCGTCACCCTTTTGACAACAACAAAATGGGAGAAATTCAACCTCTAGGGGCACCTCGTACCAAATATATATATAAAAGATATAGATATAGATACGCTGCATATACACATATTCTTGGCATTCAAATCATACCAACACCAACAGCAACAGAATTCCGTTGTTCCCATCCATGATTGCGATGTTTGTGAAGGAAGTCTAACAAGTAAGAATAATGAATATGGTATTTTTCTAGCCAGGGGCAGTGGTGCCCATGGATCTGTTTGCAGCAACTTCTTCGAGGCGTTTCCACACGGCTTCACGTTTGGAAATGGTTTCCTCCTTACGGGATTCATCTTCTTGGAATTTCGACAGGCACTCCTCAAACAGTTGAGGGTCCGAATCAGAGAAGATTTTGCGAACATTTAAAGTCAGGCTCCGCACTGCTTGATTCCAATGGCTTTTCGTGTTTCTTTCCAACGCCGGGAATATGATTGGGAGGATTACTTTCCGGTTCTGTTTTATTAGGTTCTCAATATGGTCATTGTTCCACAGAAACAATGCTCTTTCAGCCACCTACAACAACAAACATTCACGAATTCTTAATTTTTCAATAATCAATATCATTCTACACTCTATATATATATATATATATATATATATATATATATAAGCCAAGGACGATTAACATACAAACAACAAGGTAAAGACTATCTTTTACACTCTTCATTTCCCTAACCTAAATTCTTACATATTCTCTTCATCTCCACATATCTCACCTCACCAGTGTTATCATAATAATTAGATTCTCATTTACACAAGGGCTTTTTATGTTATTTCCTCTTCCTTAACCTCCAAGGTGCACCAACCCTGGCCAACATTCAAACGTAGCTACATTGATGCTGCCACCATGTACAAGTAGAATATTTCCTTTAGATTCAAAAGAGTAAATCTTTGTCAAGGATTTATGATGCAAAGGTTATGATGATGAACTCCTTTCCAAACTACAATGTCTGATTCTTTAAGTACTTAGCAGAAACTAGTACCTCATGCCTCCTTCTTCAACATCTTCAATACAAAACATACCTTTACCCACTCCACCAAAGAGCAGCATGTGTAGTGTTGTTGAGATACAACAATTTGGAGCTTAATTCATCTTTGTTATAGCTTTTGCTTTGTAGTGTAGTGTAGTGTCCTGTATAAGCATTGGTTTGGGCTTTAGGAGCATCAACCCTAAGTGAAAGCTCTTTTATAGTAAGTAATACCTTCTTTCAAACAGGCACAGCAACATTTGGCAAAAACCTTTTCCAGTAGTTCCTTCGACCTTCAACATGTACACCATCTCCTGTTGTGTTGCTGTTGCATATGCATCAATTCAAAAGTAGAAAGTCGTGGTTAATTGAATTGATTATTGCCTTTAAAAGATTCACTTTTGGCATTGAGCTAACAATCATGTTCTTCAAGTGACCCTATGACAGATCTCCCATTGTACTTCCTCTTAAGCATCAGCTCAAGTCAAACAACTTGGCTCATGGTTTTCTTTTCCTCTGACAATGCTTCTTGTTACTGCTTCAAGCTGCCTCTAATACCAATTTGTCACTCACGGGGTTTCCAATTTCCCCAAATACCTATGAATCCTTAGTCCTTCAAACCTACCCCCCTCCCCTCCCTGCTTATAGTTTTCCTTCCAACAACCTAACTCATAGTTTGAGGTCAAATTACATCAACAGCTAAGCTTACATGTCCCTTGAGTTTCCTATAAACTATTTATATAATGAAAATATCTAGAGTACTAGTTACAACTTACAAGTGAAAGTTTCCTCTAGAGAACATGAACATGAACATGAACAGGAAATGGGAATGGGAGAGAGGATTCCAAGTAAGGTGCAATGCATGCATAATATAAGCTTCAAATCAGCCCTACCTTTGGTTATCTGTGCTATTAGTATCAATTTGTTCTTACCATTTTCCATTTTCAACTGAAGGGTCCTACTTATATGGTAAAATGAGAAATGAAGATGCGATCCTCAGTGAATTTGAAGAAATAAAGAGGGCACCCACAAAATTAAGTATGGAAGACAAATATAAAAAAACCAATGAACCCGTAGCTTATGGTCTATTGGGAATCCATGCATTTAGACAGTGTCCAATTGTCCTAGTATGAAGAGAGGGACTATTGATAATCAATTTTAAAGGGCCTTTCTCCTATCATTATAATAAAGCACAAGTATGAATAGCTAGCTATAAGTGAAGCAGCAATAATAAAGATTAAAGAATGAAGCAATAAAACTCATTACCTGAAAGTGTGAACTGCTCAAACAGTGAGAAATCTGACGAAACAGAGGCACCATACATCTTTGAAACTCAGGTGGCTGAGTGGCTTCTAGAACCTCCTCAAGCTCGCTCAAGAACATCACCTCCTTTGAACTGTTTGTAATTGGCCAATACTTCAATAAACCTCTAATAACAGTATCAGCAAGTTTGCAGTCTTTTTCAACGAATTGAGTGATGCAGTAAGATAACTGTTGATGGTACATTGGTATGCATTTGGGCTTGTGGAGGGGTATTAATGCCCTAACAAGAAAAAGCTTGTGCTCTTCCTTCAATGGCAAAGCAAAACCATTGATAATACTTCCTAGAATTTCTAGAAGCTCTGCAATTCCATTATGTTTTTCAGTTTCAAAAATGAACCGAAAGAATATGTTGTTGATTGCTTTCCTGATAAATGGACGATGCACCATGAACTTTCCATACATACGATGAAGTACAAATTTTAAGTACTCGCGTTCTCTTGGATCCTCAGAGTCAAACAAGTCAAGCCACCTCAATATAAAAGTATGGTCAATATACCTTTTAGCCAGCTTTGCATCTGTCTCTGGTGATGCTGCAAACCTTAGAAGGAACTCATACACTAGCTGCAAATGAGGCCATGCTGGATCCATGGAGGGTTCTTCTTCTTCCCCATCAAAAGTTTCTAATATTTTGTTATCACGAGGTTGTGGTGTGAGTCTTCTAAATATGTTTATAGACACCATCTTCACTATTTCTTGCATCACATTTTCTGAAAATTTCCCATTTGCAGAAGAAACATAATCAACAAGTTCAACCAAAGTCTGTCTTTTGACCTCCTTTTCTTTCAAAGTCTTTGTGGGGTCGGTGAAGTCAAACACAACACAACACAGATTCAACTTTTTGATGAACAAGTTTTGTTTCTCAGAGTTTGGAACATCTTTGAAGCTAGGTAAAGCTTCGTATGCATTGGGAACTGCTGGATTGCCATTCAACTTTGAATTTGGAGCATTATCAAGCTTATTAGAACCTTGAGTTAGGCCAGTATTTGAAGCAGATTGAAGATTTTGCCCATGACCAGATGTAGGATTTGAACTACCAGATCGACTATTTGCTACATCACTGTTGCCCCTTGAACTGGTTGATGCATTCGAAGATGAATTAGAGTTCCCTCCATCTCGATTTTCGGTTGACTTATGTGTCTTCCGTGGGATCCTATTGAGTATCTGTTTGATCATCACTTAAATGACAAACTGCAATGTTTTGCCTAGCCCAACACCAAAACCGCTAAGAGATTGCTTAATGCTTCTTATAAATAACAAAAAGTGGTGTGATATCGCCTATGGAGAGCATCAAAGAACCACAAGCTCTTGAAACCAATTATAAGTCGGCTTCATGACGACATCAGCATCAAAAAACACAGAAGATGGATTCTAAATATGACCTAGCCGAAGCTTGAAAACAGACTTCTCCTGCGAGCAAACAAATCCAAATATTAGGTGGGAAAAATAGATCCAATAATGCAGAAACCCTTGAAATCAAAGCTATTATACAATTCATTGACCAAATTATTCAGAATTTTTAGAAGAAAGTTCAAATTCTGAACCCTATTTGAAATAAAATTGCAAGGGGGAAAGCGACATATTTCTTATTCCTTATCACAATTATTCAGAGCCCAGTCATTGAGATCAAAATACAACAAGATCTGGGCATGATCTACAATACCGGCATAGCATTCTTCTTCAAAGATCGCCAAAAATCAACAGGAACAGATAAAGCGAAAAAACAACCAAGGAAATCAAATTGTGCAAGTCAAAAAGAAGAAATAGGGAGGTTGATGATATGATACTTACGTGAGGTTTGTTCTGGACAGCAGATAACGGAGAATATCATCAAGAAAAAAGTCAAAAGAAGATAACTCGAAGGATCAGTGACGGAATTCTGAAAACGATCTGAATTGAGGAGAGAGGGATGAGAGAGAAAGAGAAAATGGGTTAACGCAATCGCTGGTTCTTGTCTAATGTGTTTGGTTCGGTAAGAAATTACAAGGATTTTTTTTTATTTTTTTTGTTAATTGCTGTCAAATGCTCTTTTCTCTCTCCCCCTCTCCCTCTTATCAATTTTCTCGTCATGCATTTTTTGTAATATTTTAATTATATTGATGTAGAATGGGATTAAGATAAAATTATAAAAATATAATGATTTATTTTATTGAAATACAAATATATAGAATGGATTATAATAATTCATGCAATTATCTTGCTTATATGAAAACTCACTTCATTCATACATGTCAACCAACATAATAAAATATAATAATTCATTCAATTATATTGTTTATTCTATTATCTGATTTTATTCTTTTATATTTCATTTTATATAACCAAATAGACTAGGTGGTGTTTGGTAGTAGGATGACAACAAAATCATGTGTATTATTACCAATAACAGAAGAAAAAAAAACGAAAGAAGAAATTAAGGAGGGGGTTGCAAGTATTAATTGTTTGGTTTCTATTGTAAAGAAATTCGTACTTTGCTATATGCAGGGAAAAAATGAAATGGGATGCATAGGGATATGGAAATTTCAAGTATTTTCATGTGATTTATTGGAGTAAAATTGGTAAGACGACAGACGTTTTAATACGAGTATGTAACTTTGAATGGTATGTATGTAAAATACCCAAATTTGATCAAAAATGAATTTAACTTGCATTTTTATTTGAAATGTAGGGATGATAGGACACCTAAACTTTTATAAAGCATATGGTCTTGAATGTAATTGATAAATATAGAACCTATGTGTATTTATTATGCATAAATATGAAAAACTCATATATTTGTGGCGTAAATGATTGTACATCATCATAATTGGGGTAATGGGACATTTAAGGATGACAAATTAGGAGATATATGTGAATGGAAATTAGGCTCCCAAACAATATGATAATTCCAGAATGATGATTATTATAACAATTATAACAAGTAAAGTTGAACAGTTTTGTAAGTAGGTGTGAGAAAGTATGATGTCTAATTAGGCATAGTGACAATAATAAGGATTGAAAATAATAAGGATTGAAGGTGAAATTCTTGATTAGATGTATTTATGGTGTGAGACAACTTTAAAGTAACATAAAATGATGTACGAAAGATGTTGATGTGATAAGATATAATTTAATAATGATCAATTACTTGAATACACATTTTGGCAAAGTACATTAATATAATAAGAAATTCTAAATGTGAGGATTCATGGCTTGTGGTATGTGTGGAATATCCCTGATGTTGATGAGAACATGTTACATGAATAGTAGGAGTATACTAGAAGTATTTTCATATGGCAAATTTGAGTTACATAAAGATATATACTTAACTTGAAGATTTTAGGGGAAAAAGTTAAATAGTCAAATGTGGGCAATATGATATAACATTTTCATATCCATGTAAATCATATTGATCATGTCATGTTGTGTGTAAAAATATGTGAAATATGAGGTTTGGTGTATGGTACATAAGAAGGTCGATGAAAATGGGAGAAAAGTAAAGTATATTGCTTTTTATAGATTATGCATGAGATGAGAAGAACCATTAAGGATGTCTTGGATGTTGATGGAGTGTGATATGAGGAAATACTTATATACTTCTCAAATAAATGTTAAGATCTTGGGAGATGTCAATTATATATATATATATATATATATATATATATATATATATATATATATATATATATATATATGTATGTATGTATGTATGTATGTATGTGTGTGTTAGAATAAAGGGTGTATACATTATGAAAGTATACAAGTAGTCAATACATGGATTCATTGGAGAAGTGATATTTTGCTTTTGTACGTGAGAGATTTTGAAGGTCTGGATGTTCTTAAATGTTGTTTATAATATGAATGGAAATGGTAGTTCAATTTACACTTAAAGGTGCAAAAGATGGCCAAAACAAGCAAAAACATACTTGTTTGTGCCAATATGTGTTAGGTTCAAGTATCAACAGACCAGACTAATGTTTAGCATATAGTTCAGTTTGGGTTGAGCAAGAATTGTGCTTTGGACAGCTCGGTTCATGCTAAAATGTTGATAAGTGAATTTCACCCAAGTTTGACCAATAATTAAAAATATTATACGATTATTTTTGGTTATTTCACTTCCAGAGCAGATGAGAGATTCTAGAGGACGTTTTTATGTAACTAAGCCAGATGATGGTGTTTCTAACATGCTTTTAGCAGGATTCAAGTGTTATGATCTTGAATTAGAGGTATACACACTTACCTTTCTACCACATTGTGTTGAATGTGAGATTAAGGTTTTAAATTGAGTTATGTTTATGTATGGTGTTTATTGCATGATTGATATATGTTTGAATTGAAATTAAAAGTGTTATAAATAGTAAAACATATGTCAACTCGTGACTCGTACGGGTTTAATAATTATTCCAACAGGTAAATTGAGTTTTTTCCCATAAAAACCCTATATTTTGCATTTTTTTCCCATTTTCGACCTATTTTTTCAGAATAAGCCCAACATTAATGTATTCCTTGTTATTTTATTAATAGAATCGGTTACCAATAGGTAAACCTATACCCCTCCCCCCCTCCCTCCCTAATTCACATGTATTCTAAGCATCGATCACCTAAAAGAATAATCGATTCTAAAATCCTAGGTAACATTTCTAGTTCTTCTTCTTGCACACCATACATATTAGGTCTCTTAAAATGAATTCTTCTTCAAGCTAGGAACATAAACTTAGTAAGGAATGTTGAAATGGTATTATGCTATTGTGAGGATGAAGCTTTTATATTTACCTCATGTCCTATGGTTGTTTCATAAGATCAAATTTGTTTTCAAATGTTGTCATAATGTTATTTTCAAAAGGTCTTACGATATGTTTATTTTAATACTCCCTCCGTCCCAAATTAATTGTCCAATTTTGACTTTTGAAGTGTTTTTTCTTCAACTTTGACCTTAAATATTTTTATTTGTGTTATAAATTACTTGATGAAACTTTTCACAATGAAAAGACATTTAAAAGACAATACATTCATATATTTTGCATCAAGTATTATCTATCAAAAAGAAAAATATTTAAAGTCAAAGTTGAAGAATAAAGACTTCAAAAGTCAAATGTGGACAATTAATTTGGGACGAAGGTAGTAGTATAATGGGATAGTGTTGCAAGTAAGTTGTGGTTTTTACCTTTAAGCCCATTTTCTCTCAATTATTTATCAATGTTTTGTTGGAAATTGTGTTCAAGGTCACTAACTATTTTGGTAATATTTCTAATAATAATAATGTCCTTTTGGGTTGGCCTCATGATCCAAATAGCATAATGAAAAGGAGATTAATAATATGTTTATTTATTAAAGAATTAATAAATTAATTAGAAATGATTTTGATAAATTAATTAAAAGGATTTAATTAATTAAGGATGCTGGATATTAATTAATCTGAGGAATTATTTGGAATATTCCAGAACCTCCTAGAGACATATAGGGGACGGTTTTCATAGCCCTTTTAGATAGGGATATGGCAGGTTTGATTCAGATAAGGATAAACCCTAGAGTTTGTATCATTTTGGAATACTCATTGCTTAACTATAAATAGACTACTAAGGTAAACCCTAGAGCCAATTATCCCTACTGTCAAAATCATCCAACCTCTGTCTTTCCCTCTCATTGGACGAAAATCACACCCTCACTCCTAGGGTTTGGTGATTTCTGTATAAACCCTAATTTGGGTTAAATCATTTTTTATTTTTGGTGTTGTGGGTGTGTTTCCTTTATATGGGTGCTCTTTTGGATCCTTCAAATTTGCAACAAGCTGGAACATATAACATTATAGAAAAGTGAAACTGAGGTTGATAATCCTTATTTTTGTTATTTTTCAAAGTAGGTTTCTACAACTAGTAAAACATAGATCCTATGATGCATGTGCACTTATGTATATCTTTTTATAATTCCGCTACCTGTGAGTTGTGTACTTGATGCTATAAGTCTCCAACTATAACACTTGGTTCTAGTAACAAGTATTATTTACGAGATATGAATCTTATGAGAATAGTATATGAAATAGAGCATGGAGTTACTTTAAATTTAGACATCCTATTTAGCAAAATATATAGTTGAGAAATGTTGTAGGGCTGGTTGAGAGGATTGTGTGGATATAAACATCGTCAAAATGGAGTTTGTATGAGAAAGTTATGACTGTTTGAAGTTTAGATGAAAGTACGTTGCTATTTTGAGAAAAGTAAATGGAATTCAAGTCAATGGTCAACTTTTGAACCTCACGGCATGAGGGAATGCCTGCCACAATAGAATAATCTTGTCATGATGTGAAGAGCGATTAGTCATCGGAACGCTCGAGATTCATATGTGTAAAAACGAGAGTCTATTAACCCTCTCGACGTGAGACATGATGGGTTTTATATGTTAAATATTATTTTGTCGGAAAAACATAAATCTTAAGTTCACATGCACCCTAAAGGATCTATGTTCTCACTATGATTTGCAAACAACTATTGAATATCAAGAAACCTAAAAGTACATTGCTATTTTTGAAATTACTAAAGGGTTATTAGAAAATACATACCTTAGTTTATTAGAGCAAATAAACTAGTAATCCTTCCTTTTTGGTCTTTAGAAAGCAAGCACCAAAAGTCTCGTGCCTCTAATGGCTCACACTCAAACCCTAGCATGTTAGAGGCTTAAGAGGAGAGAGGAGAAAGGAAATTTTCGAATTCTCTCTATGGAATGAGGTGAATTTCGAAAATAATAACCCAAGGGGGTTTATATAGGTCATAGGAAGGCATTTTCCTTTTAGATAACCCTAATCCTTTTGCTTTCTTATTAAGGCATCCAAGTTTCCTTAGAGCACAAGAAAAGCTCTAGAGAGCCTCTAGACCTCCTCTAGAACCGTCCCCCCTATGGGAGTTTCTAGAATTGGTCAATATTCAACTTTTAAACATTGTCACATTTAGTCCTTCCACTTTTAATTAATCTAATTAATCCCAAAATTAATTCTAATTAATCTCTGATTAATTTTTAATTAAACAATGCTATTTCTAAATAAAATATTATTCTCAAAATA